CCGGCAGCATATTTCCCTTGAGTGTTCAAATGCAATTTTGTGAGCTGGATGTGGTGAGGTTGTGAAAAACTTGCATCCTCACGGTACATGGGTATGTGAACTGTATCAGGACTCTACAGACAGATTAAAAACCCAGAGAACTGAAATAGGCACGGACATTTTAGCATTTAAGAAATTGTCTGAAACTGTGTGAAGAATTATTTGTTTATGATTGATTATTGTGTTTATTGTTGTTGAGAGAGAGAGAGAGAGAGAGAGAGAGAGAGAGAGAGAGAGAGAGAGAGAGAGAGAGAGAGAGAGAGAGAGGTGAGACCAACTTGTGTCTAAAGGTTCAGGATGGCAGCGCTAAAATTAAATGACAGAAATAAACCCAACAGACCCTGATAGGGTTATCAGCTGTCAGGATGAGTCTGTTGTCAGTCACGCCACAGGTCCACCCCACAAACTGACTTTTTAACTCGATCCTAAAACATTGACATGCCTGCACACCTCTGCACTCATGTCCCAATTACCAAGGCCCTCTGTAGAAACACACAGCGCCTGCAGCATCCTGCACAACATCCCACGTGGCATCATTAAAGTCAAACGCATTGCTTGAATGCTTTATATTCTTTTTTTCTTCTCACCTTTTTCCACATGTGGAGCTCCTTTTCCTTATTTTTTTTTACAAATCAGTTTACCCTGCTTTACTATTCTTTTCTTCTCTTTCCACAACCATTCTGTCACAGGGTTAGACTTTTTTTTATTATTATTATACCCCTTTCATGGTTCACTGTCTTTCTATCACTTATCTGACAACGGCACACTTCAGTGCTCACCGTCAGTCATCATCACAGTCCTACAAGAGTAAGAAAAGCTTTAAACAGGCCGGAAGGCAAACAAACAAACTGAAACTGATCAAGCCAAATTAAATATATATATATATATTTACCATCAAGTCTTTCTTGATGGAATATTGAGAAAGAATATTTCATCTGTAGGACTTTGGATTAAAGGCACACTTTTCAGTTTTGCTTGCTTTTAGCACCTCCTAACGCCCGTTATTAATTTACTATGGTTACAAAAGTCATCTCCTCGCTGTGTGTTGGTCTTTTTAACACCTTAACCTAACTACTAAAATGTCTCCTCAGCCTTCATAAGCTTCCACAGGAGCGGCTCATCACTAACTGAAGTTAATCAGCTGTGTTCAAGATAAAAAAAAACATGCAGGATTCGTGCTGGAAGCAGACTGTAGCTCCACCATGTCAGCGCCACTCCACTCCACAGCCCCCTCAACCAGCAGAGACCAAACTGGCTACTCTGAAGTTGCAAGTCTGGTTTTCTGGTCACAGAGGTCGGTGAGGTCTGAGTGACTTTTCATTAACTCTGTTAAGGGTCATTTTAGCATATACTGGCTGAACAAAATGATGTAAAAATATGAAAAAAATCATTGCATTCCTATTGAATAGACATCCTTCAAATTTCAAATGATAAATAATATCAATATTTTTACGTTAATATTAGTCATGTGTCTTGATGATTGAAAACAATCCTTGTTTTAATAAAGGACTTTGGTGATGCCCACATTTCAACGTATCTTTGGTGTGTTCTTGCTGTGTTTAGTTTCAAATTCCATCTTTCAGTTTTTTTAAAACACAGAAAAGGTTTAATTATCTGCAACGTTTCGTTGCTGACGCCTGGGATATTAAAAACAGCCAAATTCAACACAGCAATATTACAAAAGATGAACAATCAGCCATGACAGCATTATCCAAAAATGAACAGATAATTATTCTACCGGCAGACAAAGGAAGAACCACAGTGGTAACGGACAAAGACAAATATAAACAACAGATGAAACAGATGTTAGAGGACAAAAATACATACAAAATACTTTTAAAAGATCCAACAGAAAGCATTAAGAAAAGTATGAAAAAAAAAAGACTGAAGCCACTACAAGAAAAAGGCAAAATAACAGAAAAAATGTACAAACACTGGATTCCTACAGCAAACATAATACCAAGAATCTATGGAACGCCAACAATACACAAACAAAACACCCCACTAAGATCCATAGTACACAGCATAGGTACACCAACATACAACATGGCAAGAGAAATCAGCAAAATCATCAACCTGTTACTAGGAAACACATACCAACACTGCAAAAATAGCATAGAACTGGGAAAAGAACTAATGGAGATTACAATAGAAGACAACGAC